AATTACCATTATGAATTATACACACAATTTACTTCAAAAGCGACTTAATCATGGATTTTGAATAAATATTTTTTTAAAATATTTTTTTCAAAAAATAATAATAATCAATATTGATTTTTGGAAAAAGAAAACGAAAGAACGATTTAAAAAGCACTTCGTGAGTTTGTAAATTTAATTGTTGCTTTTGTTTCGTTGTGTTTTTTTGTTCTATTTTTTTCTCTCTCCATCTTCTTCTTCTTTTTGAAAACACAAAATACTGAATGAGAATAAAAAATAAACAGAAAGCGCAAAGGGAAAAAAATACCATGTACTGTTTTTCAATACATTTTAAACATTTACATTCAGTTCACATCGTTTTGAGTAAGGTAATTATATGCGAATGCAAGTTCATAATAAGTTGGCTGGGCAACAATCATCGACGACATGCGAATGCATGGTTGCAATACTTTTGGTCATTTGATTTTCATCTTTTCGTTTGCTATTGCATAAAGTACATCGAAACAATCTGAAACTCACTCAAAAACTTTTTTTCTACTTTTTTTCGCAATCGTGCTTTAATTAAATTAATGTGAGAGAATTCGTTTTTTTTTTCTCTTTCATATATGAAGAGAAAAAATTGATGGCGCTATTATAGAACTCAGCTTTAGTAGACGTATTTATTGCTAATTTCTGTGGTGTACTCTATAGGAAATACCTTTTAGTACACCTAACAAAGCAGAGTTCTTTAATTTAAACTGACATATTTTTCTCAGTGTGCATTGAAAGTAAAATTGATGAATAATGAATCGAATGAAAAGGGAGAGAGAGAGAGAGAGAGAGAGAGAGAGAGAGAAATGGAATACTGAGAAAAAAATGAAGATATAAATTAAATTGCCCCAAAATCTGAAAGTTAACTATATTAGCCTATATCAGTGGAATAATTGGCGGAAAATATCGTATTTTAATTAATTCTGAGAACTTTTCATTTCTCAACACAAGTTTTAATGGATAACTCAAACGAAAGGGTTTGAAAAAATAAGAAAAACACCCAGCATACGATTTATTTTGGATGGGAAATTGTAAATTCCTGACAACTTTGAAAGCAAAACACAACGTTGAACAATGAACAATGCTAACAAATCAAATTAATGTACTTGATCAATCATTCAAGTGCGATGAAGATTAAATGAATCAATTGATGTTTTGAGTCAATCGAAAAATTTAATTGACATGTAGCGATAACAGTAATTATATGAAATTAACTGTGAAAATCACTGTATGAAATTTGGAAATAATAGTTTTTTGATCAGTCAACACTTGAGATAAGCCAAAATTGAAATATATATATATATATATATATATATGTGTGTGTGTGTGTGTGTGTGTTTGTTTTTATTAACTCAGCTCTCGATAACGGTAATCTATACACCTCATCTGAAATTCTAAGAATTACATCGAACTAGTGAGACAGAATTATGTGCTAATACGTCTTGCTTTTTCTTTCGAGAAACCGAAAAAATCGAGAAAGAAATCAATAATATCGTCAACCAAATTGTCTTGAGCAAATAGAGCAAGAAACATCTGTTAAAATTGGAAACATTTTTTTCTTTCTTTCATTCTCTTCGTGTTTCAATACACAACTGCATTAGTAGACAATTATGTGAATTGTCTTTATGGTAATGAAACTTAAATTAGTACCATTTACAACATTGCCGAACACTCAAGACAGAGGCATCATGATTTCCAACGAATATAAAAGCGATGCATTTCAATGAATCCATTTGCTCAAATGGAATACTATGATGCTCCAAACGTGGTGGTAAAATTTTCGCATTTGAAATAAACAATTTCAAATTCGGTGTGTTCTTGTATTAATTTGGCAAATCGACGAGACGTTAAATTTTTTTTTTTGGAATGAGCAACGATACAAATACAATCTTTGAAGTTCATTGTACGCACGTTCTCAAATACTCGTAGCAATCGCAAAATCACCGAACAACACACATTCAAATTTTTAATTGAATCACATACAAATTGTCCATACAAGAGGTTGTGAGGAGAAAAAAAAAAAAAAAAAAAACAAATGATGTGATCAAAACCAAAAAGCGACGAAAAGATGGTACAAAAAGATGACAAAAAAATTAGCACGATTGACAGTTGAAACAACGATAACGAGAATGACCGATCGACCAGAAACCAAATGTCAGCTTACGCTCTACAACAGAAAGCAAAAAGTGTTTGATTCAATAATAAATGAACGCTATCGAAATCATGACGAAAATTTGTACGAATAACAACCATGGGCCATGGCAGCCGTTTCTCCCTTTCTCTGTGCCGACCGTTCCCGCTATCTCAGTGTATTTGTGTGTATATATGTGTGTGAATCCCAATCGAAGTAACGAATAAAAATAAAATCGGACGAGCGTCAAATCTTATCAAAATAAGACCAATGAAAAGCCAGCACTTTGTGTAATGGTCTCACATACCAACAAAAATTTGAATCGAATGTTCACAAGCCTCGTGTACACGTATTAGTAAAGAATAATTGATACATTCGTTGGCAACCGGATAAATAATATCCAATAGAGATAAGAAAATAAGAACGTAAAGCACAAAAATCAAATTGAACCAAACCCACATCGAAAAATATCGTGAAGAAAATATGAAAATGAAATCGAAATAAATGAAGAAATCGTGTTGGCGAATCCATCGCTTTTTTCCCTCGAATCGATGAAACATGGCATTAGTCATGATCTTTTTGTATTGCGAACAAAATAATTTCTTTTTCTTTCAAATTTTACATCTAAAAAATACTCGCGTTCCGCAGTCAATGCAGTGAGAGAACCTCACAAATATATTCAAACATGTCATTCCATTCATTTTATGGTGACTATACATTCGAATTTATCACTTCCATTTGCATTCGCATTCGCATCCACATTCGTACTTACAAAATCATCGATTTTATATATGTTTATGTCATTGTGTCAGTTCAATACAGCGACAGAATCATGCGCTGTCAATGTGTGGGATTTGGCCGCTTTTCTCATCTTTTTTTAGTGTTTGGGATGATGTTGTTGTTGCCATTGCTGCTTTTCTATTATCGCCGAAAAATTGATATATTGGTTGCTCTACACTTATTTTATCATTCGCATTCGTCGTGTCGTCATCATCATCATCATGCTTTTGTGTGCGACTCTTCATCGAATATTCGACTGCTGCAGCCCATGAAAAATATATATGCTCGCTAAACTATTATCACGCGTTTCAGCGTGACAAATACACACTCAGAACAATTCCAATGTGAAGGTGTTGATAAATTCTATAGGATCGAATTTGCGAATCAGGCGTAAAATTTGGAGAAACAGAGCGCACGATATACGAGTGTATTTGCAAGTGAGTAGCTGTATTTGCTTTGTCGCAAAAATGACAGAATTTTTTTTTTAGCATTGCGGCATTGAATAGACGGGTAGACAGAATAAAACAAAAAAAAAAATGGCTGATTAAACGCATGGATTTTTGTATGTATGTATACAATTCTATGGAATTGAGAATCTGAAACTCGACTCAAAAGGCATAAATGAAAATACGAAGCAGAAATGAATGGTACGGTGAGTATATTTGTCGCTAAAATATTGTTGCTGCCATCGCCGTCGTCGTTTGCAGTTCCACATTCATTTTAATATGCATGTATATTATAAATTATAATTATAATTTGTATTTAGGACTTTAGTCAAGGTATGTCTGTGCCGTGCGCTTGGTGATACAACTAATGTTGTATTTCTCCCTTTCTCGTGAAAATGGGTGCCAGAGAGAGAGAGAGAGAGAGAGAGAGAGAGAGAGAGAGGGAGAGAGAGAGAGAAAGAGAGAGGGAGAGAGAGAGAGAGAGAGAGAGA